CATTAGACAGAATGAACGAAATTTGTGTTTCTCACTGTACACAAAAACACCAACTGCCACCCTTATTGGCTGTGATTCCAGTTAAAACATATGGACATGCATTGGCCTTGTGTATACAGAATAAATCACATCCATGATTTACATTCCTTATTTAGCTCGGCAGCAGATGCATTTTATCGGAGCATGTCTGTCTGTAATCGACAGACAAAACAAGCATATGCTTTTATTTGCACACTAATGGAAAACTAATTCCTGGGTGAATGTTAACTCATTCACCCCTGAAGACACATTTGAACTCTTCCAAATCAAAGGTTGGAATAGTTCATTTTGAAATTTCAGGGGTGAATGAGTTAAGCTGTGGTGTGTGCGTACAGATGTTGAAAGATTTACTGCAGAATGCAATCGGCAAAATAATTGAGTAAAATGGAAATGCATACTTGTTAGACAACTGTTCAGTAAACTGGAAATAATGATTTACATTTTTCTGTCATTGTGCAAGTTCTCAGACAACATTAAATGTAACTTCACATTGACTAACTTGTTCATGCATCCCACTGAACCGAATGTCCTGACAATGACCTTTACACTTTATGGTCAAGCTGAACTATATTTTGGTGCTTAATAATTCATGGTCTTGTGCCCCACCCGTACAAGTTTTTGGTTCGAGTATATGTTAACCCCCTGGTTTGTATTAATCAATTCACCCCTAAAATCCCATTTGAACTCTTCCAATTCAAAGGGTGGAGTAGTTCATTATGAAATTTTAGGGGTGAATGAATTATATTAAAAAAAACTATGATAATTATTTTGCTGACTGCAGTCCTTATTCATGGTCAATGTATTTCTTATACATTCAAAATTTCTAAACTCGTCCATTTTAACCAGGTGCAACCATAAAATTTACTGCAATGAGTTAATTTCTTTTACTAATCTTCCACCTGGCCTGGGATCAAAATAGTTTAATACACTGTTATTAATTAAATTTTATAGAGAACACTATATACATATAGGGGCATTGTTTAAACATACAAACTTTGAATTGTATTTTGTATGCCCCAGCAAAACAAATGTGTGAAGTGGAGGAGGCACTAAGTGTTTGGCTTTTTTGTCCTTGATCCCTCCATCCATCTGTCCATCCAACATGGTAAAATTTGTATTTAGACTTAATGGTTAGCTGCATTGCTCCAATATACCAGAAATCTTCATATATGGACACATCATGAGGAGTACTACTCCATTATTTCAAATGTAGGTCACTGTGGCCTAATTCAATGACTTGGGTTAGACAAAAAACCAAAGTTAACTCATTCACCCCTGAAATTTCATAATGAGTTTTTCCAACATTTAAATTGGAAGAGTTCAAATGTGTCATCAGGGGTGAAAGAGTTAATGACTCCAAGCTAGTGCCCCTATACCAGAGATCGAAATTCATCAAACTTGATACATGGATACATCTTTGGAGTACTACATTGATACTGGTATATATAGCTAGTGTTAATCATTGTGACCGGTATTTTTTGCTTCATTGACAATTGACATTGGTAACCCTTTGAGTTAAGCTCCATCCTTAGTTTAAACTTTGTATTTAGATTCATTTCCTGTAGCAATTGATGTAGTTTTCAATGGACAAGTCAGTGAGTGTATAGGGATACATTATTGTTACTATGTAGTGGTTTGTCAGTGACTTTCGTACATCTGCATATATATATATATATGTGACACCTTAACCCTAGCTATCACCCCTATGTAACTTTAATAAACTCTACCATAACTTAATATGGATGAGTCCATTATGGTCCGCAGTGTTGAAAGGGTTAACTCATTCGCCCCTGAAGACACATTTGAACTCTTCCAATTCAAAGGTTAGAATAGTTCAATATGACATTTCAGGGGTGAATGAGTTAAAAGACAGTGTGTCAATTTCGGTCTCATTTTCTTGACAGCAATGACCATATATGGTGGTGACCACAACAGTTTCATATCTGAACAATTTCAAGAGGTCTAGATGTTTCCAATGTATTTCTTACACTTTCCCTAAATGACCATAGCTGTTGATATGACGTTAAACAATACTAAACCAACCTTACACTTTCATCACCTTTATACTGTATAATAAACTATGTCACACTTGGGTAATGTGTATTCTAGGGACAACGGTCCAATAAAACGTGGTTGACAAATGTGCTGATATTTTGTAAAATGTAATTGTGCTGTCAGTTGAGAGCACACCTCCACTCCAGGTCATACTCATCAGATGATGTCAGTGATTCTTCCACCTACTTTCCACAGGGCCTATTTCTTGAGACTTTTGTAAAAATCACATAAAAAAAGCATGAATTTGGGAAAATAAAGTGATTTTTGCCTTCATTTTTGGAAAATAAAGCAGAAATATCTAGGGGCATTTATAAGGCACCAATATAATTCACCTTAAGAAAATCTCGGGATGTCATGGCCACCTTTATTCCCTGAAGATTCTTTTGGAAGTTTCTCTACAATATCTCCCTTCACATGGTTTAGTATTGCATGGTCTACTGGATTATTCTGTTGGCAAACCTGAACCACAGAATCAGGACCTGTCCATCTATCACAAACAAACTGTGTCTGCTGTAGAAGGAGGCTGATGATCAGGGTGTCGGGGTAATGGTAGGGGAGGTGTCTTGTGTTGGAGCCAGAATGGCGACCAAAGCTGGGGGGATCGAGTGATAGCACTGCACACTGTCAATTAATCCACTGGGTTTCAACGGTAATTAGGAACTTAAAACAATTAACAGGAATCGGAAACTTCTCAGAAAAATCTCTTGAGATAATTTAGATTGTTTTGTGTTATATGAAATATCACTTGTATGCAGATGGTTTTTCTCAACAATGTCAGTATGTGTTTGTGTGTGTGTGTGGGAGGGATAGAGTGTTAACCATGTCTGCTGTGTGTATCCTGATTGAGTAGCAACTTCATTTTAATAACAGATTTCAATTCATAGCAATTTGTCAAACAATGACACAAATTTGCACAGTATTTCAGGGGCATTTAAATGTTTTGCAGCATTTTTTTTATTTTTTTTATTTTTTTTTATTTTCAGAAAATAGTTTGAAAACCATCTTCAGTATTGATAAAAACTTCCTGATAATAATATGAAACCTTAAATGCAAAACAGATGCAAATTAAAAAAAAATCAAATATAGTAGACTAAAGATTCAATTTTATAGCTACTATATTTGATTTTTTTAAATTTGCATCTGTTTTGCATTTAGCCTTTCAGCCCTATGTAACTTTGATACACTCTACCATGCATTTATATGGATGAGGCCATTATGGTCTACAGTGGTGAATTAAGCAAAGTTTTTTTTAAAATAATTATAAATTCTGAAAATTGCAGGTAGAATTTTGAAGACTAAATATATCATATTACACTTCACATAACAATGGTTCCTGCTCAGATATAAGGCCCCCCTTAGTGATTTTAGAAATGTAACTTTCTGGAATCCATGCATACATGTAGGTTTGTTTGCTAAACAACTCACCCTGTAACATTAGCACGAAGCTGCAACAGAAAATTGTCTCCTGATATATTAACCATCGTATGTGTACTTCAAGATTTATATAAAGCTGCTAATTTTTAATCAGGAATCCAGCTTCAGATTGGGATAAAGACACCATGTTGTTCTCATGGTCGGAATATAGTGTTGTTTGAAAATACATCTATCTAAGATACCCCACTTGTCATTTACTCACAGTTCTGGGTGCCCTTAATACTTCAAATATTGTACTTTCCTATAAATCTAAAGGAAACCTAAATTATTGCCGCGGTGGCTAAGTGGTTAAGGCGTCTGACAATCTGCTACCACTAGCCCTCCATCACTGGGTCGCGGGTTCGAGACCTACGTGGGGCAGTCGCCAGGTACTGGTCATAGGTTGGTGGTTTTTCTCCGGGAACTCAAGCTTTCCTCCAACACCAAAACCTGGCACGTCCTTAAAATAACAATACCTGTTATAGGACGTAAAACACAAACAAACAAACAAACTGAATTATTGCCAAAATCCAGAAAACCATTTTAATTGGTTATATCTATAGTCATGATTGGAAGTCTCACCTACTTGGTCACCATAATGTAAAGTATTTGTTATATATTCTGTCACACTTTGTTCCAGCTACTGAGTCATCATTGATGGGGACGTTGACCCTACAAACATTTGTATAAGGCAGATCAGGGTTCATTTCTCGGGATCAAAGTATTCTATCATTTGTATTAATTAGATCTGACCTCATCAAGTATAAATAACTATAATCATGACCAGGAAGATTTATTGTAAAAACAATAGTAAAATATAACAAGGTTATGATCATTTCATTAATAAATAATCTTGTAATAACAGAAAGGCTAAATTAAATTAGTACTTAACAAGTTCAGGATAACACTAATGTTAAAATCTACACTTTGAAGATTTGTTAATCAGTGATCCAGATAGCTAGAGGGCACAGCAATCTGATATCTGATAGAAATGCAACTATTAATATTACCTGTTGACAAGGCAAGATGTTACCGGAGGTCTCTCATAAAAACATTCCAGTCGAGATGAGGGTGATGTAGTGTACTTTTCATTCATTCACACATTTATCACAACAATCAATACAAATTTCATACGATACAGCATTTTAATACAGTTATCGCGTTCTGAAATCAAATCCAGCGATAATGGAGACAGAATTTTTATGTGAGTCATATTAATTGTTGAGCACGGTGCGATTGTAATGTAATAATATGGCGTTATCAGTGTAGAATTCTTGAATATTTGTGATATAAAAAAGAAGATTTAAATGTGATATTTTTATCAATTTGTTCATTCAAGGTTCAATCAGTGTGACTGAGGTAAACATAAGATTACCTCAGTTTATTATGGTACAGAGTTATTCCTGTCCAAGGATGGGGTCCTTCTTACCAGATTATAACCCGTGTGTAAATGTCAATTTTAGCAACTAAAAACTTTTCTTCTCTCTTTTCAGGTGCTTTGACGGTTACAATGCCACAGTTTTCGCCTATGGACAGGTAAAGTGTTTCAAGTATAGCCTCACTATTTCACCTCTGTACAGTTTAGTCCTCACTTGACAGAAGTAGACCTATAATAGCTTTCATGCCTAATACAGTAAGAGACAGGAAAAAAATAAAACCAATCGAAGCATGAGATTTAAGCTGTATACATAGGTATTGTTCTTTGAGTGGTAATGGGCTGAGTTTCCATCTGATTTAAAATACACTGACCCAGTTTTCAGGGCGTTTCAGTTCACAGTAAGTTGTTTGTGTCAAGTTTCTTTAAACTTATATACACTTACGTTTGTCATATTAACGTACCCATTCACAAATCAACATGCAACACCATCATACTTGAGTGAATAGTGATTTATACCATGGAAAATTACCTGTATACGGAGAATAGCATTATAAATTGAATTGACACTTTCAAAAAACATTTTTTTTTTTTTTTTTTATATGTTCATTGACAGGTACTTTTCATTCAAATACTGCTTCATGCTAAAAGTTGATTGAAAGATTGATCAAATTTTCCTTTATATAAAATGTAACTCATTCACCCCTAAAGACACTTTTGAACTCTTCCAATTCAAAGGTTGGATAAAGTTCATTATGAAATTTCAGGGGTGAATGAGCTAATTAATACAAATAAATCAATTTGATTTCTGAGAAGTTTAACTTACATGTAATTCAAAAGGTAATAACAAAATCATTTTCTTTGGTATGTTATTTGTAAAGAAAAATGGTAAAATTTCTTTAAATGATTGCATCAGAATCCGAATTGGTATCTTGTGGGACAGTCTATCTGCAATAGGAACATTGACTCCTTATTATTTCACTGTGGACACCAAACTCATGCCATGAATAAAATATTTTTCTTCTTCTGAAGAACCTCCTAGCTCTCTATAGGTAAACAAAGCCTCTGTGAACACAACATGATGTATATTAATAGAGGCTTTTATATGTTGTGGGTTTGTACTGACAGGAGAGATTACCGATCATAACCTCTATGTTTTCATCTGCCTAACCTACGGCCTTCATTAAGCGTGACAGGTAGATAATTTGTGCGTGTTATGATATTTAGTCCTGCCACAGATATTTAGTAGTGTCGCACACACAAATGTTGGTGGTCACCGGTACACACACAATTTTTACTGTTATGATAATTACTGGGCTCCTTCTTCATATCTAATGACTGTTAAGTGCCATCAGGCATTTAAAAATGTGTTGTATTTAAAAAGAACTGGTAAAGTTTCAGTGAGATATTCTCATATTGCACACTTCAAATACAATAGTCTCCTAATGTTTGTATAATTGTCTCCTTTGATACCGCCCAACAAAACTAATTTCAGTAATATAGGGTTGTGCTATTCTGAAATGAATAAGTATTTGTGTTCTTACAAAGGCATTTCAGTGTCTTTTGCATTTTCAAAATAGGTGTCTAGATCCAGACAGCAGTCATAGAGTAGAAACTGAAACCACAGAATCATTAAAATTAGGAAAATTTAATGACATAAATAAGGTACATGTAATAAAAGAAAATGTTTATTTAGGAATTCAATAGCATGAATGGGGGAATTTTACTAAATCACCACATTAATTTCTAGTGAAGTGAAGGCTTTTTGTGTACATTAATTTAAAATAAATCTAGATTAAATCTCTCATCATGGCCATTTTAAAATTAAATCAAAAGTTAATTTCACAAATCGTGTTAGCAAAACTACATCACAGCATCATTTTGGGGATCTCAAAACTGAGCTTTGTGGAATTTTCCATGGCCTGTGACTTCAATCTGTTTAAATTGAGAACAGCATTGAAGATTTCGAATCCTTTTAGTGGAACCAAAATGTTTTTGTGAAAAAGGAAAATGTCGATACCTATTTTTCATATTTTATTCTTTGCCATGTAAATGAGTATGCAACTCTAGTTGGTCAGAAAAATGCCAAATAAATTGGAACTCTTCTTTATCGGAGATAAACAGAGGGCGCACTAGGGACTCTCTACCTTAAAGCAACTGGGGAGTTATTTTACATTGAATATTCTTAGAGGAAGACTTTTCCGAGCAGTATCATCAGTGAGAATATATAGAGGAGCATGATATACCATATAAGCTATTAAAACATCTCTGACTAAGCATGGTGTATATTGATACATTTAAGGACCAGATTATTGTGATACTTCAGTACGTGTATTATGATGCATCCTCTACAAGTTAATCTTGGCACTGAGAAAATGTCAAAATGCTCTTTGCCAGTGTTTCTCTTTTATTGTTTGGCACAATGACCGAGTTTAAACTCCAGAGTCAACCTCTCAGGAGAGTTAGCATACCACAGGTGATCTATAAGCTTACGGTACTGGTTATAACATTGTGTTACCTCTCTGGACAGACCTTACTAATGATACGAGTACAGCCACCATTCATTCCTGAATATTTCATGAACATATCTTCTTGGATACATACTACTGGTAGTAAAACAAAATTGATCAGTAATGTTGGTGTTTACTGTGTGTGCTGTCATTAAGAAGGGAAAACATTAATATATTGGCTTTATCTGAATGTCAGCTATATCATAGCCTATGTATGCTGCGGAAGGTCACTGTCTCTCTGGAGTATAAATTGTAGTATCATCTGTGTTAGTATCTTATGGGGCCAATATGAAATTATTGCTTTTCCCCACTTAACTGACCGGTCATGAAGTCAAGGGTAGGTTATTGAAGTTGAATTTTATTTTTTTCAAAAAATGGAAAGAGAAAAAACCCCATTGTCAGTTGTAACTACAATGTACTCAAGGTCAAACAGAATTGCAGTACATGCAGTACAAACATGATTCTTTCACAAGAATTACAACAGAAATTTATTTAAAAATAAATAAAAACATCCATAAAAAACTATTGGTTTGGAGGTCTTTTTATGGGTAGGTTGTTAAAAGTTTGTTAAATCAAAATACACTGTCAGAGAATCCATCTCAAGGACATCAACCTAATTGTCTAGATATCTAATGTGTCTCATAATGAACAATTCCAACATTTGAATAGGAAGAGTTCAAATGTGTCTAATTCAGGGGTGAATGAGTTAATGGTTTGGGGTATATGTAGTAGTAGACCTAACCTGTGACTGTCACAAATGGTTTGGGGTATATGTAGTAGTAGACCTAACCTGTGACTGTCACAAATGGTTTAGGGTATATGTAGTAGTAGACCTAACCCGTGACTGTCACAAATGGTTTGGGGTATACATGTAGTAGTAGACCTAACCCTTGACTGTCACAAATGGTTTGGGGTATACATGTAGTAGTAGACCTAACCCGTGACTGGCACAAATGGTTTGGGGTAGATGTAGTAGTAGACCTAACCCTTGACTGTCACAAATGGTTTGGGGTATATGTAGTAGTAGACCTAACTCGTGACTGTCACACAATTGGGTACTCTGTATCTGTTGGTACCTATAATCTAAGAACTATAAACTGTAATGCCATTCCTCCGTACTTTGTATACCCGATACACAAATATATACAATATTTACCACTCACTACCACAATGTTGACCAGGGGGCCAGGCACTTGAGAGATTGGAGATTCCACCCTGTGAATCTGATAGTCTTTAAGGGCTTTGGTGACAGGTCAATATTTGGTGTGAGACTTATGTATGTGGGTCGACAGAGGCAAGCAGATACCTGATGTGTGGGGTAGGGGCAGAATGGGTTTTGTGTTTCTCTTAAAGCTCTTGACCTTTGCTGAAGGTTTTCCTTTAGAAGACATAATCAATGTAACATTGGGTGAAGAAGTAGTCCCTTTAATGTGTAACATTTGGTTGATCCAGATTTCTGTATATAGGTAGTGAAGTTTTTAATTTATACATTTTTCAGTTATTTCTGAACTTATGACAAGCATTGTGAGGTTGGGTGCGGAAGTCCCTACAATGTATAACATTTGGTCGATCCAGATTTCTGTATATAGATAGTGAACTCCTTAATTTATACATTTTTCAGTTACTTATGAACTTATGACAATTAGCATTGTGAGGTTAGGTGAGGCTAGAAATCCCTACAATGTGTAACATTTGGTTGATCCAGATTTCTGTATATAGATAGTGAAGTCCTTAATTTATACATTTTTCAGTTACTTATGAACTTATGACAAGCATTGTGAGGTTAAGTTAAGAACGTCCCTATACTGTGAAACATTCAGTTGATTATAAATCAAGTCCTTAATTTCATGTAGCATTTCCGATCTATTGATTAGCTTTTCCATAAAATGATAAAAATAAAAATGATATTTCGAGGTTTTTAATATATACCGCTTTATCACAATCTTCCGGTAGATCGTAGGTCGTCTCAAAGCGGTTCACAAATTATTATCCGTGGTTATAAAAGTTAGATCAGTGTTATATACAGAAAGTGTCCTTTGAAAAGACCACGTAATTTATGTGTGCAAGATATCTTTCATGATTTATATATATAGACTAAACAAATCTTTTATCACGATGTTCTTGTATTGTGAAGGAAAATCCAGGTGTATGTCTAAGTGTGCAACAAGATGCTAATGTTTGTTAAACACTTCACTGTAAACGAACAACTCTGGTCCAACTGGTTCAACCGTTTGGATCGCGATAAACGAAAACGGCCCTGTACATGATAGAAGGTTCCAACAGTACAGAGGAAATCAGATACTTCAGTATATTGACATAAGTTTACAATATGTATATTACAATTAGGGGCTCTGAAGCAACTTACGTATACAGTTATATCATTTTAACTACAGTTGCATTGCATTCAGCAATAAACAGCATACACCACACAGAACTCTCCTAGGCTCCCAAATTACTGCCAAGATGTTAAATTCTTGATCTTCTATTTAAAGAAATTCATTTTCATTGTGTTTCATTTTAAAACATGATCTAAATTCACCAGATTTGTCATGAAATTTGCTTTCTTCCAAAAATCTTCCTTTTAAAAGAAATGAGCATTAATCCAGAATGGCTTTGACACTGTTTCTGTCAGTGAGTGAGTTCTCAATCAC